AAAGCTTAATTTTGCTGGATACAAGATTCTTGGTTGGGATCCATTTTCTTTCAGAGCTTGATATATGTTGTTCCAGGATCTTCTAGCTTTCAGGGTCTGGTTTGAAAATCTTCACATAATCTAACTGTTTTCCCCCTATATGTAACCTGATTCCTTTCTCTCATGGCTTTTAATATTCTGTCCTTATTCTGTAAGTTAGGCATTTTCATTATAATTTTCCTAGTTGTGGATCTGTTGTGATTTTGTACACTTGGCGTCCTGTAGGCTTCTTGACTTTGGATTTTCAATTCATTCTTCATGTTTGAAAATTTTCTGATATTATTTCATTGAATGCATTGTTTACTCCTTTGGTTTGAAACTGTATGCCTTCCTCTATCCCAATAACTATAAAATTTGGTCTTTTTACGCTATCTCATATTTCTTGAATGTTCTGCTCATGGTTTCTTACATTTTCACTGTGTGGTCTGCATTCTTTTCAAGATTATATATTTTGTCTTCATTGTCTGGGGTCCTGTCTTTCAAGTGGTCTACTCTTTTGGTGATGCTTTCAATTGAACTTTTAATTATTTTATTGTTTCTTTCATTTCAAGGATCTCTGTTTTTTTTTAGAACCTTCATGTCCCTATTGAAGTAATCTTTTACTTCCTGTATTTGTTTATGTAGCTTTGTTGAAATAATCTTTTGATGCTGGTATTTGCTGTCTTATATTATACTTTAATTCATTTTAATCATGTACATCCCTTAACTCCTTCTCTGTAATTTCTTCTGCTGTTCTGGCCAAGGATTCTAATAATGTGGTATATTGATTTGTTTGGGGACTTTCCTCCCTTGTCTGTTCATGTTGCTTGTGTGTCTTCCCTTCTAGCACTGTGGATTTGAGGTGCTACCATTTTTATCCTATAGGCTTCTAGTTTCCCTGTAGGGTTCCAATATCTCTTCTTTGAGGGGAAGGACAATGTTAACAGATCCCAATGTAAACAATATACAGCCTTAAAAACAATTAGTTGATATTAAGACATTTACAATTTGGTCACAATGTACAGAAATGGTGAATTCAATTCTTATCTACAGTATAATCAGTAAGTTTGTAAAAGGGTTTACAGTTTCTGATGGTGGAGAAAGAACCAGGGGTGGGGTGTAGGATGATATGCTGAGGAGGTAGGAGGTGAGGATATAGAGTTATTATATCTTAGGAAATGTGGAAGAGAAATCTAAAGAAGAATGTTAGTAGCAGGAGAATAGAGAGGAATTAATTTTGGGTAGAGAAGTAAGTAGGAAGACAGTAGAGTACATAAAACAAACACACGAATATATTAAGAAAGATAAAAAAGTTAAAATTGTTAAAATTGGAGGAAAAAAAAGAATATACAACTGTAATATTCTATTCAGATGTCCCAGTCCTCAAAATCCTAACTCACTCAAAGTGCTTGATTTCACATATGTTGGAGATGTGAAGGCAAGCAAATAGAGAAGAAGAAAAAAAAATCTCAAAGGAAGAAACAAGGATTGTTTTGGCTGGAGATCAGTATCTTTCCTGCTTCTCTTTTCATTCAAGAGATGGGTTGTCTGTTGTTAGCTGGTATCTTTGCCCTCAGTATGGTGAAGGTTACCAGGGTGTCACTGTACCAGGGTAGTGGCTCCTGGAGAGAGAGAGGAGTTAGAAAATGGGTACCTGGCCAAACAGAATTCCAAACTGGGAGTTTCCCCCACTAAAGATGGTGATGAAGGTGACCCAAGATGGAGGCAGCTGCTTTCACCGATGGTCGGGTGGAGGGAGCCAGGTAATGGCATTGGATGTGAATGATTATTCAAAGAGAGCTCTGTGGCATGCAGTGTGTGGTTTTGGCTGTTTTCAGAGCCTGTGTGAAGTTCCCAGGTGCAGGCAGGCTACCGTGCATAGGAGACTATTTCCATTGCTGCAAAGTCCCCACGTTGCTAGATGGGATCCACATAGGAGTTGTGGCTGGAGTTCTTGTGTATGGATAGCTGCTGGGTGTCCTGTGTGGGAGCAGCATTGGATATTTCTGCTTAGATGGGTGGCTGAAAGTTTTGCGTGGGTGCTGATGCTGATGGTCCCGCTCAGGCACACATCTTGGTGGATGTGTGGTTTAGTAAATGTAGGTGGGATCCAGTCCTTACACACAGGGGCACCAGGAAGAGTCCCATTCTATATGCTCTGCTTTCTTTTCTCAAGGAGTATATAGAAAGGTTTTAAATTTTGACTCAGTCAGATAACTTCTTGTTACTATGTTTTGAGGACTAATATGTTTGTATTCAGTTTTATTATTTTGGTGTCTCTTGGCGTAGTGTTGACTTTTTGCCTTCATCTTTGCATTGATAAAGTTTTGATTTTACTCTTTTATGTTTTAGAAAATGTAAAGTACATTTCTCTTCCTATAAGCATGGTTTAATTATATTTATATCTGCGTCTCTATATATCTGAATATATATTATGTATGTGAATTTCTCTTCTTTTTCTTTTTCCTTTCTTCTCCCTCTTTCAGGGTGGGGGATTGGACCCAGGGTCTGGCACATACTAGGGAAGTACTCTGCCACTGAGCTATTGTACCAGTCCATTTAAACATTTTGTTTTAAGACAGGGTCTTACTAATTTGACCAGGCTGGCCTTGAACTTGTGATTTTCCTGACTCACCTTCTAGAGTAGCTGGGAATACAGGGTGTCCCATGGCACCTGACTCTGTTTTTTTCCTATGCCCCATGTTACTTTTTGCTTTCTACAGTGTTATTCTACTCCATTTCTCCTTGTATATCCCATTTCTTCCTTTAGCCAATTTTACTATCTTTAGAGTGATCTCAGTGGCTGATTTGAGGAAACTACATATCAGCTAATGTGGGACAGTTTTTTCAGAGTTTATCAAGTTACCTGAAAAGCTATAGCTCTAATGCATAGACAGGAAAAGCAATAAAAATGAAAGCCAAGCACACAATAATCAGAACATGAATTCACCCCCTTCTTCCTCAGAGCCTTTGTCTCAGGTCTTCCCACTTCCCTGGAATGCTTCTCCCTGCTGGTCATGTGGATGGCCTTTGTTTACCTTTGTCTCTGCTCCTAGGGAAACATGGCACATGTGAGTAAATGACCCAGTTTACTACATGTTACATTTTATACCAAATAACCAACTACATCTTGAGTGTTTATCAACAGAGGAAGGGTGTGTAAGCTAAACATGCCATGATGTGGTAAGGCAGTAGCAGAATTTATCTGTGCTAATGTAATACGACCTACAGAATTTATCATTGAGTTTGTAAGCAAGTTACAGAAAGTTTTGCACAAGACATAATTTTTTATCAAGTAAAAAACTATAAAAGAAATACTATATATTGACTATTATTTCACATATGTGAATATACTTGTAAATTTATAGCCAAACCCCTGAAAGTTTTGTCTGCAAATTGAAAGATGAAGGAAGAGTTGGGGTGATGAGTGGTGTAAGGGCCAGGATTGTATGGGAACTCTATGGGGCTTTTGGTTCATTTATAGTGTTTTATTACTTTCAATAATTCATATATTTGTAAAATTTTCATAATACCAAAACTAACAAAAAGTCATCAAAGCCGTAATAAAGAGTTATTCATATTCTTGTCTGTCTTTCTCATAACAAAGCAGGAGAGGGAGGAGAAAATGTCCAACTTCTTCAGAAGGTTTTGTCTGGTCACCGCATATGTAAGTGCTCTCTGTCTCTGGGGTCATGCACCTTCACTTCATGCTCCTCTCAGGGTCCTACTCTTTGATTTCATTAGAGATATGTGTATTTTTGTCTTTTCCAGTAGACTTTAAGACTAGTGTCTTCTCCTCTCTTATGTATTCTTCTTTTCCACTTCCAGTAAAACGTCAATAAATGTTTATAGATTAATTTGAAACTAGAGAAATTATAATCAGCAGCACAGAATGACAACTGCTAACTTATTCTAAAATATAATATCCATAAAATAGCATTTTAAAAGTGGCCCTGGTCTTTGTGCTGTTGGTGATGGATCAAACCCATAGCTCTAAGCTCTGTGCTCTACTACTGAGCTGTACACCAAGTTCCTAGAAGTGGTTCATTTTTAACCCTCATTGAACCTAGAAGGTCATTTTGTTTTCTGACCATCTGCATTTCTTGCACCAGAGAACATGCAGAGAGTGGGGCTGATTTGAATGACTCCTGAGGGCTTGATTGGTCTTCAGCAATCTATATTGATGGTTTTGCCCACCAGAGGGCACTCCAGGCTGCAGGAGAAATGACTTCTGGGGTCCCCGAGGGTGAACAGGTAAAGAGAGGAGACCAGAGAATGTGAGCCAGTCATCTCACATACAGCAAGGGGGCAGCTTGTGCTTCTTTTAGTTCATCTTAGATCTTCAGCTCTGCCATTCTATACAAATCCACAGAAAGCTGGAGCCCATATTCATAGGAGCCCACATGCTTATAAATCCATCATAATTATATCCTATTTTTTTAATCGACTGAACTGTTGTTGGAAATATTTGCAATGCCAATGGTGATCTGTTGACTTTAAGTACTTCTTAATACTCATTGCATACTATCAAACAGTTTTCCTTTATCAAAATATTAATACAATTGATTCTTTAAAAATCTGTCAAACTATGTAACTTGGAAAATGGGCTTACTCTTTTTGTGATTCTTCAGTGTTCCACTTCACCCAGTGGAGATATTGCTCCTTCTCTAAAGCACTATCCTCCAAACTCACATAAATCTCTTTGAAATCAACTGTTTCAAGAAGAATAGGTCCTTTTATCTTCATTGACCTGAAACATGTTCCCTACCCACTGCACTGTCCTCACACAATTCTGGAGCCACCACTGCTGTCTCCCTGGGCCACTGGGGGTTGGGGTTCCCTTTTGGGGGCAGGACAGAGCTCAGCTGTGACTGGTGCTCAGGGAGTCAGGTGGAACCTGTTGCCTGGGAGAACAAGCTGGTCTGGCCCAAGACCTGACACCTGCAGAGCAGGGAGAAGAGCCAGCAGCCAGGCCAGCAGCCATGCAGAGGGGACTGGGGGCTCTGCTGGGGCTTCTGTGGGTGCAGTTTTGCTGTGAGTCGGGGTCCTCCCAGATGGGGCTGGGGGTGTTGGAGGGCTGACAGTGTGAGAGAGGGCAGAGAGAGCTGGCACCAAGCCCCCTCCCTGTCCTCCATCCTCCCCTGTTTCCTGGGATATTCTGCAGGTTTGTGAACTGGTCATGGATTCCCCAGTGACACCAGCTGTGTCTGCTTTTCTCTTTCCAAGCAGGGGTGAGAGGGCAGCAGGTGGAGCAGAGTCCTTCAGCCCTGAGGCTCCAGGAGGGAACCAGCACTACTCTGAGGTGCAATTTTTCCACCAGCATGACCAATGTGCAGTGGTTCCGACAGAATCCTGGGGGCAGCCTCATCAGTCTGTTTTACCTGGCTTCAGGGACAAAGCAGGAGGGAAGGTTAAAGGCAACAGTGGATCCTAAGGAGCGCTACAGCACCCTGCACATCTCCACCTCCCAGCTGGAAGACTCAGGCACCTACCTCTGTGCAATGAGGCACAGTGCTCCCAGGGGACCTGCAGCCTGTCACCAAACTGCAGCTGCAGCCACAGCCTCTGCCTTGGGGAGGACTTTCACAGCAGCCTCTGCTCAGCTATGATTCACCTGTCACCTCTGCTAACAGGAGACTTCTCAGCACTGTCATCTCACTTGGGTTGGACCCTTTTACTTCTAAAAAATGGTTTTCATGGAAAAACTTTATTTTATGGAATCACTGAAGCTTCTGAGAACAATGTCAGTGTCCGTGTACTTTTAAAACAGATTCCCTGGCAAAGTGTATAAATCACACATAAATTATTGTATTGAAAAATATGATTTTTCACACATAGAAAAAACAATTCAGTGTTATAGTTGATTGCACATTGTTCAATTTTCCAGTTGAAAAGTGAGAGCTTGTGGGAAATATATGAAGTAATCTGTTGTAACCTCATAACAAGATTTCTCACAACAAAACCCAAAGTTTAAACCTGAATGTGGAACAATAACAGTGCAAATCTGATTACAACTCACTGTCTTTCATGTGAATATAAAGGCTTGAGTAGGAAGTAGTGGGACCCTGAGATTAAGAGAAAGCAATTAGGCAACTCCAGTGACTCTGGAATCAGGACCAGCTTCCTGTGCATGTGACCTATACAGTCCACAGGGCCTGGTCCTCAGAAAGGGTCTGGAGCTTGATTTAACATTCTGCTATCTCTGTCTTGAAATTCGTAATAATTGTATCTTTGAATTTGTGATTTGGAAGTGAAGTCTTATAAGAGGCTGGAGCATGTGCATGAGCAGAGGAGATATACAGAGCTTTGGGACAGGAGCACATACAAGCTCAGGCTCAAAGTCACTGTGGCAGCCTATGAACTGGCAGATATTTGACCTATTCTAAGTTCAGGTGCATGCTCTCTGGTACTCTGTGGCGCCTCAAAATGTTTGGAAGTCAACGTTGCTAGTAAATTTTTACAAAATGAAAGGCCATATGTGAACATTGCAATAAATCACTTTGGAGAGTTGTTAGAATCCTTTGAAAAGTTTAGAAGCTTTCTCAGCCGGTCACGGTGGCACATGACTGTAACCCCAATGGCTCTGGAGGCTGAGGCAGGAGGATTGTGAGTTCAAAGCCAGGCTTGGCAATGGCAAGGCGTTAAGAACTCGGTGAGATCCTGTTTCTAAATAAAAACAAAACAAAACAAAATAGGGGTGGGGAAGTGGCTCAGCGATTGAGTGCCCTTGAGTTCAAAACCCTGGTATCCCCCACTGTCCTTCTCCCCAAATAGTTTAGGAGCCTTCTGACTATTCATTTGCAGAATGAATATTCACAGGCTCAGAAATGGGAATTAAATGTGAAGATAGCAGCCTGATGGAGAAAAGCACTCTTTTCAAATGAGCCAATAAGATTCAGTGATAGGATGCTTTAAGGAAGCATTCTGAATTATATACAAATTATGAAGCCATATTCCATTGATCAGACCTCCACAAATTACAGAAAATGTTGGAGGAAACATTAAAATGCTGCTGTATAAATTTACATTTAAAATTAAATTCAGACTCATATGAAACTGATTTGTATGAGGAGTTAAATAATACAAAAAAGTGTTTCAAGAGAAACATCATTCATAGGTGTACTGAAATTTATATTCAATCTAATTTATCAGATATTTATGCTAACATTGTCATAGCACATAAAATACCTTTAAAAGCCCCTGTATCTATTGCATCATTTCTCCAAATTGGAAATTATCAGAAATTCAATTTGCAATCTCCTTTACAAGGAGCACCTGACATAATTTGCAATTATAGTGCTTGATAATGAAGTTGCTATAAGATTAAATTTTTGGAAATCTAATAAATTAAATTGACTAAGCCCAAGCCAGAAAAATCATATGAGTAATGAAGACGTCATGTTCCAAAGTTATTTAGTTATTTTCATATAAACTTATGACCCTGTTTTGTAAGTTTATATTGTTACTTCTGTATCACTATAAGTTCTATTTTCTGTTGTAAGAAATACCATATTTTATAAAGGAAGCTCTGTATTATATTTCTTAATGGCACTTTTACTGGATTTGAAAAAGAGACCCCCAATTTTAATTTGTGCCAGGTCCCACGAATATTTTAGACAGCCCTGGTTGGGAATCTTGAACCCTGAACCAACACTTGAATGGAGGATGGTTGAAGCCAGAAGGCAATCAGGATGTTTGAGAAAGTGTCTTTTGCTTTGCATATTAGTTCCTCATCCATCTCTCCCTGGTTCCCCAATTTGCTCAAGTGTTTGTGTTTGTTTCCTTCAAGAGTGACATGATATATTGCAGATATAAATATAAGAATTAGATCTTCACAATAGAGCATCCTGTCTATCCATGGATCATTGATGGAATCCACCCCCATACCACTGCCTGTGATGATCTTTGTACTTAGGGTCCCATCTTATCCCATTTTACTGGGGATGTAGTCTCTCCTTCATCCATCAGCCAGCAGTTATGTTGTAGGAAGAATGAAAAACCAGAGAGGAATTAATCTGTGCTTCTGAAGAGGCCCAAGGACTGGTTAGGCTAACCTCAGACACAGAAAGACTCATGTGAATGTGAAAATGATCTTGGAGTTCCATGATGCTGGACAACTTCTCTCCACTGTCATACCATTCCAAGTTTTAAATAACCAGTCCTCAAGAAACATTTCTTCTGTCATATTGTGCAAAGGAATTTCACAGCTAGAAAAATTCTTGGAAAATATTTAGTCCAATCTCACTTTTCAAAGGCAGAACCTCTATGAAACAAGTGAGTATAATATGGTCATCTAGCACTTGAATTGGAATAGAAGGAAACTGTGTTTCTTCACTTCTTCCTTTGTAAATTCTGTGTGCTGCTTCATCACTGTAGGACCATACTACTTCTCCAACTCCATACATTTACCTGCAAATGCCATGATTTTATTCTCTTTTAATGCTGAGTAGTATTCCATGTGTATATATACCACGGTTTCTTTATCTATCATCTATTGAAGGGCATCGAGGTTGATTCCACAGTTTAGCTATTGTGAATTGTGTTGTATAAACATGGATGTGGCTGTGTCACTGTAGTATGCTGTTTTTAAGTTCTTTGGGTATAGAACAAGTAGTGGGATAGCTGGGTCAAATGGTGGTTCCATTCCAACTTTTCTAAGGAATCTCCATATTGCTTTATAGATTGGTTGTATCAATTTCCAGTCCTACCAGCAATGTTCTTTTCTGCAGCTGTCTTCAATTATTCTTTGTAGTTTGTTCCAGCGTATTTTCTTTTCTTTCCCAATTTTATTTTCTGTCTGAATGCTAACTTTGTAAACTTAGTCTTTTTTCCCCGTGTAGTCACAGATGGCACCTGTGCAGGAAGTAATGATGTAGCTGAGTAACTTGCTCTTCTCCTCTTATGTTCCTCCTCCACCAGCAGAATGGGTCTGCTCATGGGATATACCTCTCTGGTGGGTGTGGTGGGTTTAGTGGATGTGAACGGGGAACACAGCTTCAGTCCTCACACACAGAGGCACCAGGAAGAATTCCATTCTAGATGTTTTGCTTTCTTGGTTGTTTCACATTTTCACAAGCCATATGGAGCAAAATTTTTAGTTTTGATTCAATCAGGTAATCTCTTTTAATGTATGATTTGGTTATTGATGGGTTGGGTTGCCTGGTATACTTTTGGTTTTTCCTTTCCTTTTTCAAAGTCTGTTTTCTGTTCCATTAGTATATTTTTCATTTTTCAACATTTTAGAAAATGCAGAGAATATTTCTGTTCTTATGTTTTATTATAATTACTCTTAAATTATATATGCACATGTATGTCATCACATAAACACTGTATTTTTTCCTATGCCCTATATTATTATTATTATTTTTGTTTCCACAGTATTATTCTACTGCATTTTCTCCTTGTATATACTACTTCTTTCCTAGCTGATTTACTATCTTCAGAATCATCTCAGGGGCTGGTTTGTGGAACCCACACACCAGCTATGTGTAGAACAGTCATTTCAGAGTTTCTCAAATGTGCTGAGAAACTATAGCTCCAATGCACAAATAAGAAAAGCAATAAAACAAAAGCCATCCATATGATAATCAGAACATGAATTCACTCTCTTCTTCCTAAAAGCCATTGGGTTTCATTGGGTTTGGACTTCCCCCTTCCTGATTCTTTTTACCTGCTGGCCACATGGACTTACCATTTTATTACTACATGTCCTGTCTCTAGAGAAAAAAATGGCTACATGTGAATAAAGAGGAATGCCTTGTGGAGTTTACTGCTGTGTTATACTTCATAGCAAATAACCAACAACAGCTTGAGTGTTCATGAACAGAGAGAGGGTTTTACAAAGTAGACAAGCCATTATGTGGTGCAAGGCAGCAACAGAACCTATCTGTGCTAAATTAATGTATGTAGTATTCAGTTCATAAAGCAAGTTACAGAAAGTTATGCACAAGATGTATCATATTAAGCAAAAAATTATTAATGAAATACTACATGTTGCCTGTTGTTTCACATATTTGGTACATGATTTTAAATTGACAGTAAAATGGCTGGGAGCTTGACCTGCAGATTGAAAGATAAAGGGAGAGTTGGAGTGATGAGTGATGAAAGGGCCAGGATTGTAGGGGAAGTTAGAGGGGAATTTGGTCCATATGTAGTGTTTTATGACTTTCAATAATTCCTATATTCATGATTTTAAAATTATGTTAAAACCAATAAGAAGTCATTTATCATAAAGAGTTATTTATCATAAAGAGTTATCCATATTCTTGCCTATCCATCTCATAACAAGGCAGGGGAGGGAGGAGAAAATGTTCACCTTCTTCAGAAGGTTTTGTCTGACAATCCCATGCACAGGTCCTCTCCTGTCTCTGGGATCATAGTTTCAGTGTACACTCCTCTCAGGAAAATACACTTTGATTATATTGCAGATATGTGTATTTTTGTCTTTTTCAATAGACTATAAACCAGTGTCTCCTCTCCTTTTAATATTCTTTTTATTCACCCCCAGTATATCTTGAATGGATGTTTATGGATTTATCTTGAACTAAATTGGAGAAATCTAGTGAATAGTGCAGGATAACTGCTAACTTATTTGAAATGCAGTATCTAT